TTAAAACCGCGACTGAGCTCGCTAACGCATCTCAATTCATTGGGAATTTTCCAGAGGTATTTGAATTTTTGCAGCTAATTATAGCTAGAACTTAGAATCATATAGTTGAGTTCATATTTTCATGAAAACTTTGGGTTTTTTTTTCTAGGGGTTAGACGCAATGGTAGGAGAGAATGGGACACAATTATCTGGTGGACAGAAACAGAGGATCGCTATCGCGAGAGCGATTCTGAAAAACCCGAAAATCCTTCTACTAGATGAAGCTACAAGCGCTTTAGATGCAGAATCTGAACACATTGTTCAGGATGCGCTAGTGAACCTAATGGCTTATCGAACCACCGTCGTGGTGGCTCACAGGCTGACGACTATAAGAACAGCAAACACAATAGCTGTTGTGCAAGAGGGAAAAATCGTCGAGAAAGGTATATTTTTGACGAAAGTGATCAAGTTTGATATGTATAATCAAAGCATATGGTATAATGGTTTTATGGTGTTACATAGGAACTCACGAGGAAATGATTCAAGATCCAGAGGGAGCGTATTCACAACTTGTTCGTCTACAAGAAGGATCAAAGGAAGGAACAAGAATTAAAGAACCAGAGAGTTATGACATTGATATGTCAGTTGGTCAAACCGGAAGTTATAGGCTCTCATCAACGGTGAGTAAGAACACTATGAGAAGTCGCTTGAATGATGAACATCACGAGGGTAGCTCTTACGAAAACAAAACCGCTGAAAAGAAGCACGAGAAAGTATCGTTGAGACGGCTTGCTCACCTCAATAAGGCAGAGATTCCGGTTCTGTTGCTTGGTTCAGTGGCTGCTATGGTTCATGGCACAATGTTTCCAGTCTTTGGTTATCTACTATCAAGCTCCATCAACATGTTCTTTGAACCTGCTGATAAATTGAAGAAAGATGCACGTTTCTGGACGCTCATTTACATCATACTTGGTTTGGTCAATTTGGTAGCAGTTCCAATCCAAAACTATTTCTTCGGTATCGCCGGGGGAAAACTGATCAAACGCATCAGATGGATGACGTTTGATAAAGTCTTACACCAAGAGATTAGTTGGTTCGATAATACCTCAAATTCTAGGTATATAATTGTTTTATAAATAAAAACCTCACTATTTTTTTGGATGAACCAAAAAAGTTGGTTTGTTTCATATTTCATTTTGTCCAGTGGTGCTATTGGAGCAAGGTTGTCAACGGATGCTTCAACAGTGAGAAGTCTGGTTGGTGATGCTTTGGCTATGATCGTCGGAAGTATAACGAATGTTACCGCTGGTTTGGTAATAGCGTTTGTGGCTAATTGGATGCTAGCTCTCATTGTTCTTGCTATTTCACCGATTATATTTATCCAAGGATACCTTCAGACTAAGTTTCTCAGCGGTTTTAGCGAAGATGCAAAAGTTAGTCTTCAACGTTTTGGCTTAATCCCATAAACTAGTTTGATCATTGTTTGTTGACCTAATTTACTTTGGTTCAGATGAAGTATGAAGAGGCAAGCCAGATTGCAAATGATGCCGTGAGCAGCATAAGGACAGTAGCATCCTTCTGCGTGGAGAAAAAAGTGATGAACTTATATGAGAAAAAATGCGAGGGACCGAAGAAACAAGGTGTTAGGTTAGGAATCGTGAGTGGTTTGGGTTACGGTTTCTCATTCTTTGCCCTCTATTGCATCAATGCGTTATGTTTCTTTATCGGTTCATTGTTGATTCAACACGGGAAAGCCACATTTAGAGAATTCTTCATCGTAAGAGCCAAGCCAAACCAAATTCATCTTACATTTGGTTTAGTTCTTTTTTTTTTTTTTTTTATATGATTTTGAGTTTTGTATGTTGTAGGTTTTCTTTGCACTAACGGTCACCGCAATAGGAATATCTCAAACGAGTGCGATGGCGCCTGACATGACCAAAGCCAAAGACTCCGCAGCTTCAATTTTTGATATTCTTGATAGTAAACCGAAGATCGACTCGAGTTCAGATGAAGGAACAACGTTAGAAATTGTTAAGGGCGACATCGAGTTCCAACACGTTAGCTTCCGTTACCCGACGCGGCCAGACGTTAATATTTTCCTAGATTTGTGCTTGACTATCCCCTCCGGCAAGGTAACAATGTCATAAAAACAGAGTATTTCTCGGTTTAGTCATATACCAAAGGGTTAACACATTCTGTTTTGTTTTCTTTGGTTTTGTAGACCGTTGCATTGGTGGGAGAGAGCGGGAGTGGGAAATCGACGGTGATAAGCATGATTGAGAGATTCTATGACCCGGATTCAGGCAAGATTCTTCTAGACCAAGTCGAGATTCAAACATTCAAATTGAGTTGGCTAAGACAACAAATGGGTCTAGTTAGCCAAGAACCAATTCTCTTCAATGAGACAATTAAATCAAACATTGCTTATGGCAAAACCGGAGGATTCACTGAGGAAGACATCATATCCGCAGCAAAAGCAGCCAATGCACATAACTTCATCAGCTCATTGCCTGAAGGGTACGAAACTTCTGTAGGAGAACGCGGCGTTCAACTATCAGGTGGTCAGAAACAGAGAATTGCTATCGCTCGTGCGATTCTTAAAGACCCTAAGATTCTTCTGCTAGACGAAGCGACAAGCGCGCTAGACGCAGAGTCTGAGCGGGTGGTGCAAGATGCACTTGAGAGGGTTATGGTGAACCGAACCACAGTGGTGGTGGCTCACCGGCTTAGTACGATCAAGAACGCAGATGTGATCGCAGTTGTTAAAAATGGTGTGATTGCGGAGAAAGGAAGACATGAGAGGCTCATGAAGATTTCTGGTGGTGCGTATGCTTCGCTTGTAGCGCTTCATATGAGTACCAACTGAGACTAACCAGCTATGTGATCGCTTAATGTGTTTTACCCTTTTTACTTATGTATCTTGTGTGTTTGTTTTGATTGTAGTCTAGCTGTTTTGGCATTTGTTATGAACTCATTCCGAGAGTTTTTTTACATTGAATCTATAATAAACTCAAACATAGCTTGATTTACTTGGAATAAAGTGAGTTTGAGGAATAAGACATAAAGGATGTCAAAAATTTCTCTAATTAGATATTGAGTCTTGACGGTCCATAATCAAATAACAAAAAAGGGAGAAAAGTTGGAGGATGTTAGAATAGTAGAGAAAAATGATATGAGATTCCAAGTTTGATCATGTATTATTGAGATTACATATTTTGTGGGAGGAATAATTCTATGACAAGCAAATTATTTTGTTAATTTTTTTGGCTAAAGCATGCTTTCTGCCATGAAGTGTTTTTTTTTTTTTTAAACCTTCAGTTGTCAAGTTACAAAAAAAAAAAAAAAAAAAAAAAAAAAAAATCTACAACAAACTATTTGAACAAAATAATATTAAAACTTTTAGCAGGAGTTTGACCGATACTGATAACCATTACGGGCCTGGCCCAGATAGATGCGGCCCGGCCAATTTGATATCTCTAATTTCTGAGTAACTCCGTAACCACGTGCTTAAGGACAACACTCCGCTTACTTCATTGGTTTCTTTTATTTCCTACTAGTATTAAGCCCGTACATTCGTACGGGCGAAATTTATTTGATGATAAATAACTGTAATTTCCGTTTTCAAACGTAAGTGTGGGTTAGTCACATTAATACATATATGATCAAAATTTAACATTAAAGAGATTGAAGGAAATTATTCAACGTACAATTTCAATAACTAATAACTTCTCAACAATGATCAACCTCAATCGTACTGAACGCTAATTAAAAAATTATGTGATACCAAACATTCAATGGTCCTATCACAAGAATCAACAATGGCCTATAAGTTTTAAATCACCACAATGCTTTTCAGAATGCCGTAGATATGTATCGACGTTAGCTTTTTGTTGTACGTGGTGAAACGCCACCCTTAGCGAGTTTCTAATTAGAGATGTGGTGGCGAAACAATTTGAGATCTTATGGTCAGTCGGGAGATTCAGTGGCTTGATACACATGTTTGAGAACCTTGTTTTCAACTATCACTTTCTCCGGGAGCTCTTATGTCTAACTTGTTGCTGCCCAAAAAAAACCGAAGTTCAGAAAACCAGAGAACCGATAGTGAGATATACAAATGAAAAGAGAGATATCCTTTTCCAACAGAGAACAGAGATATTTGGTCGAGTAATCTACAAAAGGGATGTATAAAACAAAGAGAAGTAAATCAGAAAAAATTGTGGTTCAGAGAATCTAACTACAGATCGAGTAATTATTGCTGCTTTTTACGTTCGTTATGAATAATGTTTTGAACATGGGGTCACTTATAACAAAAAAGCAGTAATCGACATATCTAGTAAAATCAAACTATTTATATATAAATAGATAAAAATCAAAACAGAGAGAAAAGCAATATGTTGATTACATGTTCGTCTAAAAAAAAATTCAGATTTTATGGTGATTTGGATTATTGGGATCACCTTATGAGAGGAGGAGGAAGACGACCAGAGGTGGAAAGTTGGAATGAATGAACTGTGAGGATGAAATAAGAATTTGGTGTTAAGGGATCATGTTCGGCTGTCGAGCAGGAAAGACAGTTCTATAATAGTAACAATAATTTTTTTATGGTGATTTGGATAAAGTGAAGGGAGAAACAATTGTGATAATCGATTGTGTCATTGTGTGATATATATACATGGTGATTTGATGAAACTGATGAGAGTAGGAAGTTAAATTTGGGGATCGTGGAATGCAAAGAGGAGAACGTGGGATTTTGTTTCCCAATTTAAAAGAAAGAAATTGGTCTCGACAAAGGTAAGAAAACAATAGTGAAACAAATAAAGAGTGAGATCGTGCCTTTTTTATTGACTTGAGGAAAACTGAAAAAAAGAAAAATATTAATTAATTAATTAATTTTCTGTAGAGTTTTGATCTTAAAAGTGAAAGAATTGGGATTTATGACAGATGTCAGATAGAAAGAGTTGCAGTTATTTATAAAATGACTTGTGAATTATTAGATAAGGATGTGATGTGATATCATAAAAGTAAAACACATAATGCTCAAAAAATACAAAGGGGGCAAAACAGTGAGAAGATTGAAGAATTGGGGGTTGCTTATGTGTTTTAACACAAATTTCGACCAAAAATTGAGACTCTCTAAGTTATTTTGGTGCTCGATTTTTGTTTAAAGAGTGTGCTTTTTGCAATTGCAAGGGTTTTGATGGGTTCGAATCTCGGTTGATCGGCTTTGTTATTTGCAATGTCAAGTGTTTCGGTTGGTTTGAATCTGGTTTTCCTGTTCGATTTCAATTGCTGCGAGTCTAAGGTTTGATTTTTTGTTAAAATCTGGTTTTAGAGTGGCTGCTTCGTTTTGGTTATAGTGTTAATTGTACTCAGAGTCTGGTTCGATTGCGGTTTCCGCCGTTTGATGATGAAGAGCCGGTGTTGGATTATGCGGGTAATTTGATGGATGTTGATCCTTTGGAGCCTATTTAGTTGGAGCTTGATTTGGAGGATGATTCTTGTGTGTATAATTGGTTTTATGATCATAAGCCACTTTTGAAGACGAATATGATCAATGGTCCGAGTGACAAGAGGTGGAATCTTTCACTTCCGATTATGGCAACGCTTCATAGGCTTGCGGGTCAGTTGCTTTCTGATTTGGTTGATAGAAACTATTTCTACTTGTTTGATATGCCATCGTTCTTCACAGCAAAGGCATTGAATATGTGTATACCTGGTGGTCCTAAGTTTGAACCTTTGTATCGTGATATGGAGAAATATGACGAGGAATGGAACGAGTTTAATGATATCAACAAGGTTATCACTCGATCACGGCTGCGTACTGAAGGCAGAATTGCTTTCCCTTACTTGTACAATAACAGGCCAAGGAAAGTCAAACTATGTGCGTATCACACTCCAATGGTTATGTTCATTAAGACAGAGGATCCTGATCTTCCTGCGTTTTATTATGATCCGTTGATTAACCCAATAAGTAACACTTTTCATGACAGGAAGGTATGTGATGATGATGAGGATGACTTTGTATTACCTAACGGAGTGGAGCCTCTGCTACAAGAGACTCAGCTTTACACTGACACTACAACTGATGGGATTTCGTTGTTGTTTGCCCCAAGACCTTTCAATATGAGGTCTGGGAAGACGCGACGGGCAGAAGATATACCGTTGGTGTCAGAGTGGTTCAAGGAGCACTGTCCAACATCACATCCAGTCAAAGTTCGGGTTAGTTACCAGAAGCTTTTGAAATGTTATGTGCTGAATGATTTGCACTGTAGACCACCTAAACCTCAGAAGAAAAAGCACTTGTTCCGGTCTCTTGCAGGTACAAAATTTTTCCAAAGCACTGAACTTGATTGGGTTGAAGCTGGTCTGCAAGTTTGTCGGCAGGGGTATAATATGTTGAATCTGTTGATTCATAGGAAGGGTTTGAATTACCTGCATCTTGATTACAACTTCAACCTCAAGCCTGTTAAGACTTTGACGACTAAAGAGCGTAAGAAGTCACGTTTTGGGAATGCTTTTCATCTCTGTCGCGAGATTCTCCGCCTGACTCGTGGTTGACGCAAATGTCCAATTCCGTCTTGGGAATGTTGATGCCTTCCAATTGGCTGATGGCCTGCAATATATTTTCTCCCATGTTGGCCAGTTGACAGGTATGTATCGTTATAAGTACAGACTGATGAGACAAATTAGGATGTGTAAGGATTTAAAACACTTGATCTATTACCGTTTCAATACTGGTCCTGTGGGTAAAGGACCAGGGTGTGGATTTTGGGCTCCAATGTGGAGAGTGTGGTTGTTTTTCCTCCGTGGAATAGTTCCTTTACTTGAACGATGGTTAGGGAATCTTCTTGGACGTCAATTTGAGGGGCGTCACTCAAAAGGAATGGCAAAGACCGTCACAAAACAAAGAGTCGAAAGCCATTTTGATTTGGAGCTTCGATCTGCTATCATGCATGATATCGTTGATGCCATGCCAGAGGGAACCAAGCAGAATAAAGTGAGGACAATAGAACAGCACCTTAGCGAGGCATGGCGGTGTTGGAAAGCTAATATCCCGTGGAAGGTCCCTGGACTGCCTCTGCCAGTTGAGAATTTGATCCTCCGATATGTGAAGCATAAGGCTGATTGGTGGACAAATATTACTCACTTCAATCGTGAGCGTATCAGAAGAGGGGCTACTGTTGATAAGACAGTTTGTAGAAAGAATCTTGGAAGGTTGACTCGTCTTTGGTTAAAGGCAGAACAGGAAAGACAATACAATTACCTGAAAGACGGTTCACCTGTCACTCCGGACGAAGCTGTGGCAACTTATAGAACGACCCAAGAGTGGCTGGAAGCTAGGAGATTTTCACCAATTCCATTCCCTCCTCTGTCGTACAAACACGAGACAAAGTTGCTCATCCTCGCCCTTGAGAGACTGAAAGAATCATGTGGAGGTGAAAGGTTGAACCAGCAGCAGCGAGAAGAGCTTGGTCTAATTGAACAAGCTTATGACAACCCGCATGAAACTCTAGCGCGAATTAAACGTCATCTTTTCACGCAGCGTCAGTTCAAAGAAGTGGGCATTGAGTTTATGGATCTCTACAGCTATGTGATTCCGGTCTATGAAATTGATCCTTTAGAGAAAATTACGGATGCCTATCTTGATCAATACTTGTGGTACGAGGCTGACAAGCGCCACTTGTTTCCCAACTGGATTAAGCCTGCAGACTCAGAGCCGCCACCTCTTCTGGTTTACAAGTGGTGTCAGGGTATCAACAATTTGCAAGGCATATGGGACACATCTGATGGACAGTGTGTGGTGATGCTCCAGACAAAGTTGGAAAAGTTGTTTGAGAAGGTTGATTTCACATTATTAAACAAGCTTCTTCGTTTGATTGTTGACCCCAGTATTGCAGACTACGTGACTGCCAAGAATAATGTGGATCTGTCTTATAAAGATATGAGACATACTAACTCGTATGGTCTCATTAGAGGACTTCAATTCTCATCCTTTGTTACTCAGTTTTATGGACTAGTGCTTGATCTTTTGCTTCTTGGTTTGACTCGAGCGAACGAGATTGCTGGGCCACCGCAGAAGCCTAACGAGTTTATGACCTATTGGGATACAAAAGTTGAAACACGCCATCCCATAAGACTATATTCTCGGTATGTAGACAAAGTGCACATAATGTTAAAATTTACCCATGAAGAGGTTCGAGATCTTATTCAACGGTATCTTAGGGAGCATCCTGATCCCAATAATGAGAACATGGTGGGATATAACAACAAGAAGTGCTGGCCGAGAGATGCAAGGATGAGGTTGATGAAACATGATGTCAATCTTGGTAGAAGTATCTTCTGGGAAATGAAGAACCGTCTTCCTCGGAGCCTTACAACTTTTGAGTGGGAGAATAGCTTTGTCTCTGTGTACAGCAAGGACAATCCTAATCTGCTGTTCAGCATGTGTGGATTTGAAATCCGCATACTTCCAAAAGCCAGGATGAGCCAAGAAGCTTTCAGCAACATAGGGGATGGTGTGTGGAATCTACAGAATGAACAGACAAAAGAGAAGACTGCAGTTGCTTTTCTGCGAGTTGATGAAGAACAAATTAAGGTGTTTGAGAATCGTGTGAGGCAAATTTTAATGTCGTCAGGGTCGGCCACATTTACCAAAATCACCAATAAATGGAACACAGCTTTGATAGGTCTCATGACTTACTTTCGTGAAGCCACTCTACATACGCCAGAGCTCATTGATCTGTTGGTTAAAGGTGAAAGTAAAATCCAAACAAGGATTAAGATTGGGCTGAATTCAAAGATGCCTAGTCGATTTCCTCCTGTTGTTTTTTACACCCCGAAGGAACTCGGTGGGCTTGGAATGTTGTCTATGAGTCATATACTGATCCCAGAAAGTGACCGTCGGTACAGCAGACAAACAGACGTTGGTGTTACCCACTTTAGGAGTGGAATGAGTCAAGAAGAGGATCTGAAGATACCCAATCTTTACCGTTACATACAGCCATGGGAAAGTGAGTTTATTGATTCACAGCGTGTGTGGGCAGAGTATGCTTTAAAGAGGCAGGAATCACAAGCCCAAAATAGACGTCTTACACTTGAGGATCTGGAAGACTCCTGGGATAGGGGAATTCCGCGTATAAACACGCTTTTTCAGAAGGATAGGCACACATTAGCATATGATAAAGGTTGGAGAGTCCGGACTGACTTCAAGCAGTACCAAGTCCTGAGACAAAATTCTTTCTGGTGGACTCATCAGAGGCATGATGGGAAGTTGTGGAACCTGAACAATTATCGAACTGATGTAATCCAAGCTCTTGGAGGTGTTGAGAGTATTCTTGAGCACACCTTATTTAAGGGAACATACTTCCCAACATGGGAGGGTCTTTTCTGGGAGAAGGCATCTGGGTTCGAGGAGTCAATGAAATATAAGAAGCTGACGAATGCACAGAGGTCTGGTCTGAACCAGATTCCTAATAGAAGATTCACGCTCTGGTGGTCGCCAACAATCAATCGAGCAAATGTTTATGTCGGTTTCCAAGTGCAGTTGGATCTAACTGGAATATTCATGCATGGAAAGATTCCTACCCTTAAGATATCTTTGATTCAGATTTTTCGTGCCCATATGTGGCAAATGATCCACGAGAGCGTTGTTATGGATCTTTGCCAAGTATTGGACCAACATATGGATGAGATGGGGATAGATATTGTGCAGAAGGAGACAATTCATCCAAGGAAGAGTTACAAAATGAATAGCTCTTGTGCTGATATTCTTATGTTTGGTGCCTCTAAATGGCCAATGTCGAAGCCAAGTCTGGTGACCGACTCGAATGATATGTTTGATCAGAAAGCTAGTAAGAAATATTGGATAGATGTACAGCTTCGATGGGGAGATTATGACTCTCATGACATTGAACGTTACACTAGGGCCAAGTTCATGGATTATACAACGGATAACATGTCTATCTATCCATCTCCGACAGGTGTGATGATTGGGATTGATTTGGCATACAATGTGTATTCTGCTTTTGGTAATTGGTTCCCTGATTCAAAATCTTTGATTGCTAAAGCAATGAACAAGATTATTAAGTCAAATCCGACATTATATGGGTTGAGAGAAAGGATAAGGAAAGGTTTGCAGCTATACTCATCTGAGCCTACAGAGCCAAATTTGTCATCTCAAAACTATGGCGAAATATTCAGCAACCAGATAATATGGTTTATTGATGATACCAACGTCTATCGTGTGACAATGCATAAGACATTTGAAGGAAATCTGACAACAAAGCCAATCAATGGTGCAGCTTTTATTTTCAATCCAAGAACTGGGCAGCTATTCCTGAAGGTTATGCATACAAGCGTTTGGGCTGGTCAGAAGCGTCTTGGTCAGCTTGCAAAATGGAAAACTGCTGAAGAGGTTGCTGCACTTGTGCGGTCTTTCCCCGTTGAAGAACAGCCAAAACAAGTTATTGTGACTCGTAAGGGAATGTTGGACCCCATTCAGACTACCATGAAGGATTTTCCCAACATTGTTATCAAGGGAAGCGAACTGCAGCTTCCATTCCAGGCTTGCCTGAAGATTGAGAAATTTTGTGATCTGATTTTGAAAGCTACTGAGCCGCAGATGAACCTCTTCAATATCTATGATGATTGGTTGACGAGCATATCTTCTTACACTGCCTTCTCAAGACTCATTCTCATCCTCCGTGCTCTTCATGTCAACAATGAGAAGGCTAAGATGTTACTGAAGCCCGACAAGTCTGTTGTCACTGAGACACATCACATCTGGCCTTCTCTCACTGACGACCAATGGATGAAGGTGGAGGTTGCTCTTAAAGATCTCATCCTTTTTGACTACGCCAAGAAGAATAACCTGAATATATCAGCTTTGACACAGTCAGAGATAAGGGATATTATTCTTGGAGCTGAGATTACTCCACCGTCTCAACAAAGGCAACAAATAGCTGAGATTAATAAACAGGCCAAAGAAGTGAGACAGCTTAGTGCAGTCACAACAAGGACCACTAATGTTCATGGTGATGAACTCATTGTCACCACTATTAGTCCCTATGAACAGTCTGCATTTGGTTCCAAAACAGATTGGCGAGTGCGGGCAATCTCAGCTACTAACCTCCACCTTAGGGTCAACCACATTTATGTGAACTCATATGATGTAAATGAAACAGGATACACCTACATAATGCCAAAGAACATCTTGAAGAGATTCATACGCATAGCAGATCTTCGTACTCAGATTGCTGGGTATATGTATGGTATAAGTCCCCTTGATAATCCTCAGGTCAAGGAAATACGATGCGTTGTGATGGTGCCACAGCGGGGATCACACCAGCAAGTTCACTTGCCTTCATCTCTTCCTGAGCATGATTTCTTAAAGGATTTTGAGCCCCTAGGATGGATGCACACACAGCCTAATGAGCTTCCTCAGTTGTCGCCACAAGATGTTACATCACATGCACGTTTTCTGGAGAATAACAAGCAATGGGACAGAGAAAAATGTATCATCTTGACTTGCAGTTTCACTCCAGGCTCATGTTCTTTGACCTCATATAAGCTGACGGAAACTGGATATGAATGGGGACGTCTCAACAAGGACAGTGGCAGCAATCCCCAAGGCTATCTTCCGACACACTATGACAAGGTTCAAATGCTATTGAGTGACCGGTTCCTTGGGTTTTACATGGTTCCTGATAACGGACCATGGAACTATAACTTTATGGGGGTGAAGCATACAGAGAGCATGAAATATAGTGTGAAACTCGGAAACCCCAAGGAGTACTATGACAATGAGCATCGACCCACTCATTATCTGGAGTTCAGCAATATGGAAGAGGATAGAAACTTCAGCGAGAGAGATCGTGAGGACTGTTATGCTTGACATTAACTCTTTCACTGCCTTTTTGTTTTGCTTTTTTTATCTTCGTACCTGTATCTTATAAGAATCTTGTATACTATGTATGAGCCTTTAGAAATTGGAAACTGAAAACCGGATTTACTTTCTTGTTCATTACTGGGATTTATTGGTCTGCAAAGCTAACCAGCCCTTTGGTTACAAGTAATATTCTTTTGATGTAGTGTAAAGTATTCTCTTTATTTTCTTCATCGTAATGTCCTTGATTATTAGACGGTAATGTGCTTATCTCTCTGTGATATAATCACGATCTGAAGCTTGGTGAAATTTCATTTGAAACAGTTTCTTGTGGCTGTCTTCTTTTGCAGGCATCTTACTTGGAGTCTGTGCTATGCACCGATAATTGGCCATTGATGCGGCGCTTTACTGAGGTTTGATGTAATCTATTTGTATGACTGAAGTTGGTTGGTATTCCTGAAGTCTTTTTCTCCTTTTCTGTTCCCTTGTGGTTTCGTCATCTCTCATAGTGGAGTATTTAGATCTTTCTATATTTGTTTAATGTTTAGTTTCTATTGTTATTTCTTAGACTAAAGTGGCTTATGATTTACGATCATAAATACTTGCAGGTGTCATTGCCTAAAAACTTGGCTATAATATGCTCTACTTAGCTCTAGGATTTCGGTTTAGAGCAGCTTTATTTGATATTTACTCCTTTACTATCTTTTGTTGTGCTTTCTTCACTCTTGTGTTTTATTGCGCTGTAGAGATGTTCAAGAATCATATGTACTAAGAGACCTTAGAAATCTGAAACTAGGAATTGGATTTACTGTTTTATAAAAGTTTCGGGGATTTGTTGGTCTGAAGAGGTAACCAGTCCCTTTTGGCTCAAGCTTAGATCTTTTAAATGCTATGTTGAGAGTATTGTCCTTGATTACTTCTTCTGAACCGTATAACATGTCGTGAATATATCTGTTGTGTCTGAGTGAATCTGACAGTCTTTTTGGCAGGCTATGGATCTCACTTGGGAGTGTGTGTGATGCATCAATATTAGGTCTGTTGTATTCTATTTGTATGATTGAAGTGGTTTGTTCATTTGTTTCCTTAGTCTTTGTATGTTTGCTTAGTTTCTAGTTTTGTTTTTCGATTATGGTTCGTTATTTTGGTCATGAAAGGTTGACTGTGAAGAATTTTCTTTGACATTTTGAATGATAAATTCTCGTTTTTGCTTTGCTACCTATTGAGTTGCCAAGAGTTTTATTTCACATTTTACTCTTGAGTTGAGACTTGAGAAGATATAATAACTCTTTAGTTGTGCTGCGTCTTTCTTTGTCTTCTTCTCCTGCTGTCCTATTCTGCGATAGAGACTTGTAAAAAATGTATGTAGAAAAAGAGCATTTTGGAAATTAGAAATCGAAAACTAGGAACTGAATTTACTGTACGCTTGTGAAGGACAATGATGGTTGGAGATATCAGATGTAAATTGTAATATACCAATATGTAAATGTGTTAATTGTTTTTGTGAGACCGATTAAATCAAGGTCTAATTCGGACCAGCCTACATTAGTCAAGTTTTTTGATAATACCATTATTTTAATTTCAGAAATAGTGACCAATTTATTCTTTAAATGATTATGGGTAAGAGAATGTGGAAAGCAAATCAGTGGGAAATAGGTGAAAGTAAAAGGATGAAAAATAGTTAAGCTCGGACTCAGGATACTCTTAAATGTGGGTCTATTTTTTTGGTATGAAAAAGGAGACAATGTCTAGCATACTTTATTACAAAAAAATTATAAGAAGCTAACGAGTCTGTCGTGGTAATGCAATTCCACTGGTATATTCAAGCAAAATTAAATTAACTGAGTTCGGAACCGATTCTAGCAAATGAAAACCTAAAAGAAGTGAAAACGCATAGTTGGTTAATCTATCGGCTAGTCGATTAGCTTCTCTATATATATGAGAACTACAGATTATCCAATTCCTTAAATACGGTTTGTTAATCGAAAAATTCAATTCCAGTTTTGCGAATTTGAAGACATCGAAGAATACAATTAGTTTTTGTTGTTAGTGATAAGACAATTTTTTTTTGAGGGAAAATAGATTGGCAAGCAATCTGTTGGAACAGTTTAGCAAAGTCAACCCTATTAAATAAATAAATAAATAAAGTCCATCTGTTTCAAAATATAGGATGCTTTAGCTAAAGGCACATACTTTTAAAAAATTATTTTTTGCTTTTAACAACTATCATTTAATACTTATTTTAATAAAATTCAACCAATGATATAAAAGTCTGCAGAATTCAAATGATCATAAAATATGAAATGAATTTAAAAATTGCATAGAAAATTGTAAACATTTTATATTTTGAAACAAAAAGAAATCTCTAAAACATCATATAGTTTGAAACAAAGGGAGTAGCTTTTATAGAATTATCTTTCTATAAGATATATATGTTTATTATTACAAAAGCTATCATACTCACTTAGAAAAGTCTTGCATAGTAAAAAAAAAAAAAAAAAAAAAAAAGTCTTGCATAGTATATTATCGACGTCTGCCATCTAATATCATAAAGTAACCATTAATTATTGTTAAATGTTCTAACATATGTACCATTCTACCAGTTAAATTAATTTATTACTTCCTCCGTCCCACGAAGATGGAATTTTTAGAAATTTTACATTCTTTAAGAAATTGTGTATAATGACAATTTTAATCTTTTAACACACTTTAAAGAATATATTACTTATTTACTTCAAAATTAAATTAATGGTTTTAAAATATAAAAAGATACGTGAACTTTTTAATGGTTTTAATGACTAGTGAATATTTTTAATAAAGAAAGGAATGCAAAATGTCATATACGTTTCATTGGTCTTCACAGTTTGGGTTTGATATGCGTTTGAAGTGTCAACCACCGAATTCACCGGATTTGAATATATTGGATCTTTAATTTTTAGTGCCATCCAATCACTACAACACAAAGTATGTCCAACAACGGTGGAAGAACTTGTTTCGGCGGTAGAGACATCATTTGATGTATATCCCGCAAAACAGGTGAATCAGATCTTTTTAACTTTGCAATCTTGCATGCTCGAGAGCATGAAAGTGAAAAGCTCAAATAAATATAAAATCCCGGATTTGAAGAAGGGCTCATTGGAAAGAGAAGGCCGTCTACCTATACAAATCTCTTGTGATCCATTTTTGGTGCGAGATGTGATGAATTTTTTAGCAAGTTAGTTTTTATAGAACTTTTTTATTGTCATGATTTGTGTGTGTGTGTGTTATTTTTTTAATTGAATTTGGTCCTGCGAGTTTATTTCAATGATTTTATCTGTTCTTTAATTTTTTTAATTTATTATTGTTGTTTTATGAAAATTTATTTTTGATTTACAATATTTAATCATCAAAACATCTAAAAATACACACGTAGAACAAGTTCAATCGCCATAAACATATTCAAAAAAAAAAAAGAATCATTCAACAAAAAAAACAAATTATTTGGTGTATATCAATGAGAATAATCTCTGCTTTGCCTCTATGATCCGAAATAATATGGGTTTAGATTTCAAACCAAAAATATTAATCTTACCAATAAGTTCTGAATAAATATAACATTATCATGATCATTTTATTAGAACTAGAAAATTATATTCATGATTACAAAAGTCTAACACCAGACTCTTAAAAAAACTTTCATAAATCTAAAAAGATTTTGGAAACATCATCTTGAGCATGGTTAATACTTAATATAGTGTCTTCGATAAGAAGTTGGTTCAAATCCAGCTCATGATCGACATAAACTACACGATTTGTTCCAGAATTTTTCACTACCTTTTTTTCTTCTTTTTTCACGTTTAGGAGAGACTCCATGAATTTGAAGAAGAAGACAGAAAAAAATTTTAGTTATGAAAATAAAAAGATCTCATATTTTTATTTGATGACACAAATGCTTATACTTATATACTCGGTGCATGGAGAAAGGAATATAGTGCATGGAAGAAGAATTACTTTGGAATGTGTACTTTTAATTAATGGAGATGACCAGTCTCACGAATGGGCAAAATCATTTTGGAAAAAATTTAAAACTATGTAATTGTTTAATGAGGGTAAAGTAGAAAAGCAAAATTTTTATTTTTGTGGGACAGTTTTTTTTTCTAAAAAATCTATCTTAGTGGGAGTATAATTTTACAATTATTGAACATCATGTACATATACACATTATAATTTAATCGGCAATATAATGTGGGACAAAAACTTTTGATAATTTAAAATTTTCATGATATATATATATATATATATATATATTTTTTTTTCAATCGATTTATATGATTATAATATATAATATTTTTATGTATATTTAGTATATAGTTGGATCATTATAATTATTGTTGTTTTCTCATATTTTCAAATTAATTATTATTATTAAGTGAAATTCGATTTACTTATTAGAATCGAATGTGTACACTTGATTTATAATATATTATTTTATATTTTACATAAAGGGTCCAATTGGTAACCACTTTTTAGGAAAGAAATGGGCAGGAACAACATGTTCCTTATTGTTCCTCTTTTTATTTTTTACCATTCAGCAGTAATTTTTTTTCTAAGTTGTAACATGTGGACCCCATACTATTCCTAATCATTCCTTATTTTTTGAGGAACAAAATTGTTCCTTCTCAAATTTGATGAGGAACAAACAGGAAAACAAATTAAACATTTATAAATTAAAAATTAAATTTATGGAAAATTAGAAGGAAAAAACGTACGTGATAACGTGGCTATGAAGTTGTTTGAGTTCATGATAGCGAGATGAAGTAGTCAAATCAGATTCAAACTTATCTTCGTCTATCTCATAATTATCTCAATATATAGTTGTTTAAATAAATAAGTCTTCTCAAATACTATTATAAATAGTCTTTCTACCTTATTATTTTTTCTAGAGCTAATCAGATTGCTAGTCTCTATTCGATAGATTGAAAAAAGCTAAAGCCTAGAGGTAATAAAAGAAGTCATACACTACTATATAGCATATATGAGTTTTTTATTTATGATTTGCTTACAATCTTATATTTGATTTTGTTTATATATTTAATCTATAGAAGTTTTTTTTTAATTTTTGTTACTATTTTTTCTATGTTTTTGGTTATCATTTACAGTAACATTTGTTCTATTTTTCCTCTACATCCATTCCTCTTCATTCCTATTTTATCATTTTTTATTTTCCTGTTTGTTCGTTTTTAGTCATGTTCCTCTTCATTCCTTGTATTCCTTAATAGGTCACCAATCGGACCCAAAGCTTCATGTTATTCTTTAATTTGTAAAATCTAAAAAATAGATTATATAATTATCCACAAAAATTTGTATAATCAATTTATTTTGCCAATAAAATGGTAAGATGTATTTTACTGATGGAAATTTGCCTAATATAATTAAAAGTAAGAAACTAGTTAAAAGTTTCATCATACAAAACTTCATAATTAAATTTGCGATTATTTTGTGATGAATGCAATCGCATATTTAGAGGTGTTGGTTAAGCTTGAAGATATCTTGGAGAAGAAATAATCCTAAACCGAGTTATGGTTATTAAGAGATAAGGTTGTTAAGAGATAAAGTTAAATATATTGGGAGTTATCCAATATATTATGAGTCCTTATAGAATTAGGATTTGTACTTCTTGTATAAATAGAGATGTCGAGTAATGGCATAAGATTGTGAGAGAGTTTAAGTTTTGAGAGATTTTCTTAAACTAATAAAAGGTTATTGAGTTTGTGAGTTAATACTTTCTCTTGTTAATCGTAAGAGTTGGATCATCAAATATCGTTTACAATATTTGGTATCAGAGCTCTTTGCGATCATGGGAGAGATCACGGAAAGAGCACAAGCGGAGGTGGCCAAGATAAGTAAAGGAGGAGGCTCGACGACGATAAAGTGTCCTATGCTTAACACGACCAACTACACCGTTTGGGCTATGAGAATGAAACTTCTACTCAGGGTGCACAAGGTCTGGGAAGTGATTGAAACCTCATCAAACGATGAAGAGAAAAACGTGATGGCCACGACCTTAATGTTTCAATCTATTCCCGAGACTCTCACCTTGCAGATAGGAGAACTAAACACTGCAAAGAAGGTATGGGATGCCATAAGAACGAGACATGTAGGTGCTGAGAGGGTTAAGGAAGCAAGGTTACAAACGTTGATGGCTGATTTCGATCGTTTGAAGATGAAGGATACGAAGAAA